CTGTCTGCGGTGATCTTGGAGCCCAAATAAATGAAGTCTGTTACTGCTTCCATTTCTACCCCTTCTATTTGCCAGGAATTTTAAAGTTATTTTTTGCAATTATAAATTAAGAAGCATTATTTTAACATGAATGCAGGATTCTAATTCTGCAAAATCTCTGTATATTATTCACTTTTGCTGAGATAACTACAAAAGGAAATATGTATTTTTCCTCAACTTTTCTTCTAATTTGCATATTAGGCTTTTGCAGATAGCTTTAGTGAGAGGAATTTTTATAGTGCCCACTCATATCACACTGGACAGTTTACAGAATAAAAGTATCAATATAAAATCAAACATTCCAAACCAAAGCTTCTCCCCACCCCCAGTTAAAAGAACATAAAAACATTCCTGAATGGCTGCCAAGTTGTTGTTGTATTGATTGAATGCACCCTGAAAAAGAAGTATCTTAAGCACTTTTGGAATGCCAGGAATGAAGGGGCAGGCACATCCCTGGGGCATTGGGGCCACTACCAAGAAGGCCCAGTCGAATGCATATTATTCAAAGAAACTATTTAAACTGTACTTACAATAAGCATGGATCCTGGAGACTCAGTTCACTGTACATCCTTACAAATAACATTTTCACTGTAAAATTATACTGAATCATTCTGGGAATTTTAGAATGGATCAAAAAGACACAATCTTCTATTTCTAACTCCATTTTTTCCCATCATTTTCCTCATCATTTTTGTTTCCAGATAAAACTTATTTAGAAAGAAAAGATGGAATAACTGCACAATTTCTTTGGGCTGCTTGGGCTTGGAGCCCTTTGTTTAGAAGTATTCTTAATTAAATGAAAAAGATTTTTGATATGTACTTATTTATAGGAACTTTCCCTGAGAAGCCAGTTTTCAACATTTCCTGTTGAACTACAACATTTAACATTTAAACTACAACATCACTCTGCAAAAGAAACAAAAATTTCATAGTAGTTCACAGAATTTTTTAATTTATTTGTTCCTTGAAAGGGATTTGTTTTTAATAGTGATAATTTGAAAGCAAGTGTACTCATTATTTATGTCAGTAATAATTACTTTGTCTTTTATTTCAGCTTTAATGAAAGAAATAAAGATCAATGATAAAAAGAAGCAACTAATGGAAAAAATAGCATTATATGATGAAAATAAGATAAACAGTTATGACCTCTTTGAATCTTCAATATAAATACATTTCTATCAATTATGTCTTCAGAAGATGGGGCATTTCTTCAAGCGAAAAAATGTATTTTTTTTAAATTATTGTTGTACTTACTGTATATACAGTACAAGAAAGCTACATTGATGTTACATAATGAGAGCATGTTTCAAATTGTATATGGATTTCTCTTATTTTCTTGCTCTGATTGAAATTATTTTGATGGATCTAGCCAAAATAGTAGCTTAAGCAAAAGAAAGAAGAGATAAAAGAGCAGCATCCTCAGTTGCAGCTGATTGCTGGCTGGTGTTTTCTCTGAAAAAAGTGGTATTTTTCTTGATTTGTACATGGCATTGAATTGGATGATCATTAGGTCTCTGTGAAAGTTGACTGTGATTTGTAAGATAATGACTCAAACCTGGGGTATGTGTATGTGTATATATTTCTTGCTGCTTAAGGACTTACTGCTTGAGGAAAAGCATTATGAACGGATTCCACTAAAAGGTATTAAACTGAAGGAGCAGTAATAAAGTTTTATCTGTTGTGCTCAATATATAAAAGTTCATTAGATAGTCCCCTCTGCACTGTGATAAGCACTGTAGAACATTTAATCATAATAGAAGGAATTCTACAACTGGAAGGTAATACAGTATACATCTGAATAGCAGATACTGGGGATAAAAATATATGGTTTCTTTCTGCCATGTGGATGTGGGGTGTAATCTGGAACTGGTATTACTTAGTATTATTTATTGTATCTCTTGTTTTGATTTAGGAAATTCTATTATATATTATAATGTAATAAATAATATCTATATGTAGTAATGATAATTCAGAGGTTTTTAAAACTAGTTGTAGTAGCATCAAGAACATACTAATGTCCTCCTCCTCATTCTTCTATATCAGTGTTTCTTAAAGTGTGGTCCAAGGACCCCTGGGGGTCCCCCAAGATTCTCTCAGGGGCCTGTCAAATCAAAATTATTTGCCAGATATTGAAGATATTTGCAAAAATTTAAAACAATGTCACTCTTCTCACGTTTATTTTTTCTTTAAAAAAATAGTTTTTTAATGAAAATTATTTTATGTTAATATCTAATGGGTTTAATATTATTTTTACATGATTCAATAAATATTCTACAAATGGGTCAATTTTAATTTTTAACACAGTAAATATTGATAAATATAACCTATATAAACAAAAGCTCTTTTGGGGTCATCAATATTTTTTTTTAAATGGGAAGAGGTCCTGAGAGCAAAATGTTTAAGGAACTGTTCTATATGGCTTCCTTTTATTCCAAATTATTAAAATAAACCACAACGGCAGTTATGGGACAGGTTTGAGAAAGGAAAATCGTGATAAAACTGTTTCTTGCAAGCTGATCTGCCACTGATTCTTCTGTCACCTTCATCAGAGACCTGAAATAAGTGCTGTGGCAATTCTCCTTATCTCAGTGCCAGCCAGCAGCACTGAGGGAGGCAGAGGAGTTTTCGGTAGGAGATGACAACGTTGCAGAAATAAAGAGTGCGTAGAAGTAGAGGAGGAACTCTGAGCTGTCCTTTTCCTCCCGCATTTGGCAGCAGCGGTGTTCTTCCCGTTCAGCCTGCAGCACTTTGGGCACTGAGGGCACAGCGGAGGTGGCAGGATCGAGGAAGCACGCCTGTTACTATTACATGGGATTTCTTAAAGTAGAAAGAAGAATCCCTGCTTTGTTACCTGTATCCACGGCAAGTGCAAGATTAGCTGGAGCAAAGATGCCCAGTCTTTGGGCATGACATCCATGATGCGTGGAGGACGCTGGGTCTTAACAGTGAGACTCCCCGCCCTTTTTTGAGGTCAAACATACTGAATAAAAGTACAAATGCTAAGTATTGAACATATTCCTTACGGTTTTTTAATAGCTGGGTTCCTAATGAACCCCAGCCTGCCAACCGCATTTTATTTTAGCACGTTATGCGGGTTGAGCCTTTCTCATAGTACGTTAATCGCAGCTGCGTCTTAGGGGTCTTATTTTATGCCTACTCTCTTGTCCTTCTAAGTCACATTCAGTTCCTTGAGGGAAGAGCAGCAAAAGCACGTGACCTGCTGGACTCTCCAACTGACGCAAGCAGGAGGCTTCCGACCCCGTCGACTTTTAAACGACCATCACTTTCGCTTCTCCTCGGCTCACACCCCTGTCCAGTCAAGCAAGCACGTGACCTGACCTCAAGCCCCGCCCTTCCAGTCTCAGGCCTCCAAGTCACGCGAGCGTTCCCAGCTCCGCGGCTTCCGAGCCTCCCCCGGCCAACCAGAGGCCGGTCTGGCGGCAGCCTCTTCCCGACGCTTTGGGAGGCGTTTCCCAGGTCTTGTGCGGGGCGGCGCGGGGCGGGAGGAGGGCGCGAGAAGGATCGGAAACAGACCCCACGGGAAGAGTCGCCCGGGGGAGGGCGTAAAGGGCGGGCTCGCGGCGGAGGCGGCTGGAATCAACCAATGAGCGGCACGGCTCAGCGGCGAGGGAGGCCGCCTCCCGGGCGTGGAAGTAGGTTCTCTGCTCCGCCCCTTTTCCTTTCGGGCTCGGCCGCGAAGTATTCTTCCGGGCTTCCCTGGGCGGCCGAGGGGCCTCGGCCTGTCTCCCCCGGGGTTGCTGTTCTCTCAGAAGCAGGCTGGAGGACGGGCTGCGCGTGGCGCCCGAGGAGGGGCCTGGGGGCGTGGCCGTAGCGCCCCGCTGAGCAGGTCCGCGCTCCCCTTCCGATATTTCGGCGTTAGAAAGTGGCTTTTGTGGGCGATCGTTCATGTGAGGGCATGCGTATCAAGGTGGGAGAACCTTGGCGGAATGTTCTCTAATATCCCTTTATTTGCATTTTCAGCGCATGCAAGCTTTTAAAAAAAAATCCGTAGCATTTTTAAAA